TCTCCTTTATCTGCTACCCATGCACCTCTAGAGAGCAATAACCAATGAGAGCTGGCACACAGAAACATACAGGACTAGTCAAGCATCCAGTCCAGAGCTTCAGCAATATCTGATTTAAGATCAGGTAGTTGGGGGAATGCTTATCTGACTCTGTTTAAGCAGGGCAGAGGAGAAATGTAATAAGTGATAAGTGGTCAATCCAATCTTGCTCTGCATGCATCTTTGTGCCTCTATGTGTGCAGTGCATTCGTCCACATTAGTCCATTTTAATATACAGGCAAAACCTTTACAGCTCTGCTGGCTTCTAGTTCTGATAAAGCTCCACAAAGGTACCAAGCTGGATTTGTTTTATGTTCCACCGCAAACCACGTTAAATTGACGGGAACCCCACGAGCAAAAGAGACAGATTAAGAAGACATGGGCAGAGGCGATGCACGGCAGCACGCTGTCAGGGAAAGTTTTGTCCTTCATCAGCCCTCCATCCCTTTATTCATCCATCTCATTAAGGATGGCTAGATGATCAATAGGAGAGAAGCAGTAGAAGGGGATTAGGATTAGAAATCGATGGCTTTGTTTTCTTCAGCCTGCCAAAGATAAACACTGCCTTAAGACACTGTCAACGCAGTGGAGAGTCTTTCAAGGCTTTTCATGTGTGTGTGAGAGGGCACAGCATTCCCTCCGCGTGGATGCGCAGACATCTGTTAGCAGCTTCTCACGCCAAGTTAAAAAGAGATGTTTCGATCCCTGCCATGAGACTGGGAAAAGGGGGAGATGGGCTCTGATCCAACTTAGCGGGAATCTTCTATGGTAAGATTCAACCAAGGCTCTAGCTGGGATTTTAGTAGACTTTTCTTCCAGCGCACTTCATCACTCCATTGTCAGCAGTGTTGAACTGTGAGTGGGAGATACAGGTTATGCATCACAGATCAGAGACTGGCTTCACATCAAGTCACCATTTCAAGACTCTCTCAGAATAGCTGGAGATGACTGATGAAGAGGTAGTATCATAATTTGCTGGCTGCAAAGAAAAGTGATGCTCCTAAAAACCTGAGTGGGCTGCAAGGAGTGAGGCAAGGCATTCTGGGTAGGTGAGGCTCCACCTCCCACACAGAGATTCAAAAACATACCCCCTGCTTTGATCTCTCTTTCTCTGCTTTCTCTCTCTGCTCCTCTTCTTCTCTCTTCTTTTCACGTGCATGTGCAGACGCACACACACACTGCACACTCACCCTGTTTGTTCTGGCTTTCGCCCCTCTCTGCTTTGAAAGAACAAAGCCATTTGTTTATGTTTCCTGCAGATGAAAGCTCAGCTTTGTGATGGCCCATTCACCCCAGGTACAGATGCTGCCGCTCCACCGTGTTTCTTTAAATCCGTGAATTATTTCGAAATATTTTTAGTTTATTATTCCTCGTCTATGGTCTATGTTTCATTCCCCAACCTCTTTGTTTCTTCTTTTTGTGATCATCACCATGATAATATTACTTTTCAAAGTCACAGGTGTCTGATGTCTATCCCAGCCTGCATGCGAGCAGAAAGCAAGGGGAGGAGCAGAAATAGATTGGAAAGGAAAGATAGTCATAGAGTTTCCAGTGCATCTAATATGCATGTGATTGGCTTTGGAGCTTACAAAACAGCCTCAAGCGGACGTTAGGAGAACATGGAAACTCCATGCTAGGAAACATCATGCAGGTCTGATGCAACTATTTCACGCTAAAGAATCTTTTTTTTTTTTTTTTCGTTTTAGGGCTCATCAAGCGAGCCCATTTTTTATCTAATGAAGACACATTTCTACAAATGGTCAAAAATATAGACCTGGGGTTTAAGATTCAAGAAAACCCCACCAATCAAGAAAGCACTTGGTGACAGTGGGAAGGACAAACTCCCTTTTAACAAGAGCAAACCTGAAGCAGAACCAGGTACAGCCATCTGCCACAACCAGTGGGGGGTGAGAGTGATGTAAGATGTAAAATAATCACTTGAAGAGAAGATAAATGTAGTGAATTTTAATGAGGACTCTTTTTCCATTGCAGGTGAATGTACAGCAGTGGTACAGTGTACGTACTGGATCAGTGCACAGTAAACGGTACCCATGCCATATTCATTAAAACTGGATAACATGCTTGCTTGTGTTACTGTGGATTAGTAATGTTTTACCAGTACATGTTTGACTGTTATGGTGCTCTATGGCAAAGTGGAATAAAGTACTGTTCACTGTTCTATCAAACTTTGGCTACACAGATTTTTTTTTTATGTTATTTGTTCTCACTTATATATATATATTTTTTTTTAAAGTTTGTCTGCCCCTCTGTACATCTGGTCTTCACTCCGTTTGGTGGTTAAAAGTTGGTCACATTCACCAAAGTAACAACCAAAGCAGAGATTCTCAACATGTGAAAATAAAACTGGGAAAACAAACAGACAATAGTACGATGAGGCTATCATGCTGACCTGCGTTTCGATAGATTCAGCATGTATCTTTTATTTTTTTTGTTTAAATGATGCTCAGTTGGCACTAAGAGGCCCAAAGCATGCCAAGAAAATATTCCCTAAACCATTACAGCACCATCAGCAGCCTGAACCATTGATACCAGGCAGGATGGATCCATGCTTTCGTGTTGTTTACGCTGAATTCTGACCCTATCATCTGAATGAGCTTGAGACTCGTCAGGCCGAGCAATGCCTTAGCTTCCTGTTCTTACCTAACTGGAATGGTGCCCTGTATACTTTCCTGCTGCTGTAGCCCAGGTGCTTCAAGGTTTGACATGTAGTGGATACTGAGATGCTTTTCTGCATACCTTAGTTGGAACAAGTGGTTATTTAACTTGCTCTTGCTTTCCTGTCAGCTCAAAGCAATCTGGCCATTCGCCCCTGACCTCTGGCATCAGCAAGGCTTTTTGGCACGGAGAAGCGCCGCTCACTGGATATTTTCTCTTTTCAGAACATTCTCTGTAAACCCTAGAGATGGTTGTGTGGGAAAATCCCAGTAGATCAGTGGTTTCTCGCTTTACTCAAACTTGGCTCATTAGATATTTGTATTAATGAGGCACTGAACAAGTGCACCTAATGAAGTGACCAGTAAATGTGTATATATACACACACCCACAAACGCACACACAGAGGCTTTTTTTACTCGCAAGTTTAACTATTACAAAAAAATGCCCAGTCACACCACAACCTTAATTTAAACCTTATTCTAACTTTAGCTCTAAAACCAGGTCTTAACTCTAAAACGGCTGCATTTGCTTAAGGTATGAAAAAATTTGAGCCAGCCAAAATGTTCTACCTTTCACAAAATTTCATCGCTCTGGGCACTCAAATCGCTTCTCGCTAAGATAGCGGCACATGTTTTCATTTTCTAAAATATATTTTTGTCTTTGGTTTCTGTTAAGAAATGACTACAATCACACACCTAGCTGAGCAGTGCTTGAGAAAGCTGCAACCCACAGTCTGAACAGACAGGTATTTTTTAACAGGCACAATCACACACACGTTGAGCAAGTGTATCCTTGCAGCTGTCCTCTTTTGAAAAAAGTATCTCAATGATTGCCTGAGTGGACAGTTGTGAAATGTAGCTACAAAAACATGGCTTTAAATATGGAGTTAGTTGCACTTCTGGGTTTGTTAAAGAGTATCCTTTTGGCTGAAAATCAGGAAGTAGGCATTAAATAGGATGGAGAGGGGGGAAAGGGTGTGTGTCTGTGTGTGTGTATATGCATGTGCACTGAAAGGTAGAAGGACAAAAAAGTGGAAAATCAAGAGAGGGACAATTTCATTCTCGGACAATTGGGCAGGTGGCTGCTGATCCTTGTCCATCAAACATTCCATCAGTGCCCGACATGCCTGACTTGTCACCCTGACTGACATTCGCAACTCTGGCCCACACAAGCACGCAGCAATACAAGTGTACCTGCACCAGCAGTCAGCAAATTCACTGCACACTTGATTAGATTTACTCTGCACTTTATTTGTATTTTACTTTTCCTCAAAGCAAATGTGTTCACATGCTTACAAATTAAAGGAAAACTTGAACTCTGAGGCCCTTTTGCTGGCATGATTTGGGTCCACGTTTCCCCTTCGAGGAGAGAGACTGCTGAATCCAGCGATAAGCTTTATCCTGCGGCGAAACATTTCTTTCCAGTGACAGCAGTCTCTTCCGAGATGACGACGCTCCCATTCATGAGGCACGAGGGGTGGCTTGACGAGTGTAAAAATGATGTGAATCATATGCTTCAGCATTCACAGTCACCAGAACAACTTTGGCAGATTTCTGGATCTCTCCACCGCTATCATCAAAACACCAAATGACTGAGTATATTTTGTAAGGGTGCTGTGTCATCTCTCCAGTTGTGTTACAGACATTTAGAGAACCATTATTAAAACACCTTTATGCTGTTTTATCCTTTAATTTGTCCCCCATCTGTGTATAGGCTACACCCAAGTGCGTGCTGTAGTTCAGTATATTTCCTCAGTACTTTTTATTGCTTATAATTAGCATCACTCTGTCTTTCCTCTGTTCTCTGTTCATTATAATAGAAACCACTATGACCAGCATCACTTTATGCAGACTATCAGCTAAAATTTCTGGTGAGCTGTTTTGGTTGAAGCCCTATCTCTTTCGAATGGCGCCGCATTTATAGCAGTAAGTCCACTGGTGATTTATGAAAATAAATACATAAATACAATCTCCAGAAAAGCAGTCGAGATGTCATATCATTATGTTTGCATGCCTTGAAATGTCAGTGTGATGTGGAGGAGTGGGATGCGTGGCTTTAAATACAAGCCCCCCTTTTATCATCCATTAGAAACACAATAAAATGACCTATAAGCAGCTGATATTCTGGTATATGTCTTTATGCAATTTAATTCTACGGTTCAACTAAAAGGGGTGAGAAACACTGTGCGACGTTTCAGGCACTGAGAATTCCTTTTCTGAGACACTCTGGTGCCATCTAGTGGACAACTGGTTTGTGAGCGTGATTTAGAAAACAACAACAACAAATTACACAATATAATTTAATTATATTTTACACAGTGATCAGCTACAAACACCGTCACCTACAACGAGGCAGGTTAACTTCAAATAATACAGTGATGTGGTGCAGTGCTGCTTATGGACACAGTCAGGGGGACAAACTTGCTTTAGCAAGCATCACAGTGTGTGGAAGAAGGATAGTACGGCGTGCCTTTTCTTGGATGCTTCAGTTCGTACTTTGTTTAATTTGGTAAATCTTGATTAATCTGGGGTGGCTGAAGACTCGGCCGATTCGACTCTTCTCGTGTAGCCAGCAGGCGTGCAGCTGCTTCGGACTTTCATGGCCTTGAACAGCGATAGCAACTTTTTGACAAACAAAAAATATTCGTTTCCCAGTCACATGTTATACGCATGCAAACACATGCACAGACAGAGACATAAGGGCACAGATGCATGTGGTACAGCACACACAGATTATCAGCAATTTACAAAATACCTTTTTTCATTTTTTCCCCTCTCTTGACCTCTTTGAATATGGAAAACGAGTAAGTGCTTGGCCGATTTCTTGTTTAAACTGCTATAAAATGCAGTTTCTCACAGTCGCATATGGATTTAAGAGTTTGTGTTCGTTACATATTATCAGAAAATATGAATAAACAACTGTTACGATTATACCTTAGTTAAAATCAGTAAGGCAATGTAAACAAAGCTTTCATCGTGAGATCAGAGTTTGTCGAGTGGACTGGAAGAGAGAGAACACTGCACGCACGACACCCACAACATCAACTGTGTTTGAGTGTGTTTTGGACCAACAGCTGACGACGAGATAATAAAACACACATAATTATAATAAAAAGACTTTAGCCACTGGTACACCGATAAAGTGCTAGGAATAAAGTTACACACAGCTTTGACATGCCTCTAGTGAAAAAGACAAATGGACACACAAATAAAGCATGAAGTTGTAAAATCGGGTAGAGTCAAAAACAAAGAAGTACCACGTACAGTATGTCCATATTGCATAGCCAGAGCTGGAGAGAGTGATATCTGGACTATGTTGCTTCGCCTGCCTCCAGCCGGCAACCTGATTCTGGATAAGAGGCAGAAAATAAGCACGTGAAGGTTTGGTATCTCTGGAAACTTTGGGATCAACTCTAAAATTTATCATGTTGTGTTTGTTGCACAGAGAGCCCCGTTTTTATAACACTGAAAGCATTCACAGTGCCAGCGTGATACCTCCACTTGATATCAGTAAGATTGTCCTGGAGCTGATGCTTTAAAATGTTGCCTATAATACTGTAAGATTTTTGATTGTTTCTTCAGCTCAGCTAAATACTTCCAAAAAAGTTCACTCCTTTGGTTTTTATTGGCAAAGCAAGCTCTCACATGCAGCTTGGCCAATCAGCGTGAACTCTTCGTAGCGTCCTGGTGGTTTCATCATTAAAGTCTCACAGATGACCTCTGGCTGCACCCGCCGATGCTGCCTCCTCTGTGAGTTACTGGAGAACGAGAAGATTAACATTAGAGAGGCTGGCAAAGCAAATGCGTCCACTCGTGTCTGTTCTGTGATTTAACTTTGACTCATGAATGAACCGTGCACCTACTGGTTCACTCTCCCCATCTGAGCCCCGTCTGGACTCTGAGCTGCAGTGCAGAGGAGAGTACGCCCAGCTCCGATCCTCCTGAGTCTGCTGTTACCAAACACAGCCGGCAGAGGGCAGCGCAAGAAGAAAGAAGAGCAGAGGACTTAAAACTGATTTGGGAAACAGAGCTCTGCAGAGAAAATCCCTATTCCCGGAACAGTTTAAAGCTGCAATGTGCAGTTTTGCATGTTGTGGCTTCTGAAGGTGATGCATGTATAAATATTAAAATCAGAATCTGAAATAAAAGCCTCATCATCAGATCAAGCCATAGCCACTCTGTCCAAATCATGCAGATCAGCTTTAAGGGCGACTTCTCCAACTTCTCTATAATTTCAAAAGGGAAACTAGGTCTGTGTGAACTAGATGTTACTTCCCCTCTTTGTTGCTTGTAAATTATTTCGCTGCTGCTTTTTAAAGTCACAAATAATTTATGTAATATGGAAACTTAAAATGTTAGCGTCATGGTCATTTAATGCCTCAGAAAGGATGATTACATTCAAAGAGGTTCAAAGAAGCTTGAACATCACTAAAAGCACAAAGCAAGTACAAGTTACAGTCAATTAAATGTAGCACAAAAAGTAAGGACATTTGTGTTTGGTTGTTCATTTCTTTGTTGTAACAAAGAAATGCTTCTTGCCAAGGATTTACTGGTGGAAATCCTGTTTCTGCTGCCACACTTGTAAGGAAAATGCATTTGTGGGTCGAGGCCATGAAAAACTTGCCAAATCTTCTCTGCTAATGCCAAACAGCTTATTCTGCTGTTGACTCTTGTTTCGAGCCTCTGGTACCCCAGGTGCTGACAATCAATTGGCTGATTTGTGCCTGATTAGCAGCACCTGTGAGCATGGACCCTGTTGCAACGGTCAGTTGGCGTCTTCCCCCAGCGTGCCACATTTTACTGGTCTGGATGAGCTACTTGATTGTATGTTCCACAAAACTAAGCTGCATTATTATTTGGAGTGAACCCAAGTGCAATCTCTAAATTGAAGGATACAGCCCATATCTGCACAGCTCCCACTGTCCCAAGAACATTAATAAAATCCTTTAAGACCCATCTCACCTTGGTCATTTATGGATCTGAAACATCTCGCTTCAGGCAGATGTTTCAGATCAATTCTGACAAAAACAGACTAAGGAACAGCTTTGATCCCTCAGCCATCACCACGCTGAATGCTGCTAGATTTTAGACAATCAGATCCAATACCACTTTGATGTACAATGTTTACATTAATACAACACAATATCATGTTTACATATTAACAATTGCAGTTAACATTGGTATTTACATCAACACCAAATTTTTTTATTTGTATTTTTATTTTATTCTTCATCTAGAGACCTCACTTTCGTTGTCCAATGTTTCATTGTTACCACGGCAATATAGATTCTCACCCTGTCAAGACTTAGGAACCATAGGCATGCTTTTGCCCTACAAAAGTGGGACATTTTAAGGGGAAAAACTGGCTTTCCAATGGAATAAGATTTACTGCCAAAAAGCATTGTTACAACAATCAAATCATCAGCCAAACACACATTTATCCTTACCTATTGTACTACGTTTATTTAGAGGTCCAGAAACCTACACGTTCCAACTTATCTTTACTGCCAACAAGCTACATGACATGCAGTTTTATATGCAGCGCCCTTTCTTGTGACATCCGCATGAAATAAATCATAGGAACCAGACTTTATTTTACCTTCAAAGATCATTAAGTAGCTATGTGTGCAACCTTCCCAATGGAACAGTTACTACCAGTGTAGTCTAGTGTGTACAAACATCACCTGGACTAATGCACAGCTAACTACTTTGATGGTGACTTACATTGTAACTTGAACTAGAGTTTAGCTTACGACGGCCAAGAACTGGAGAGTACACCCAATATCTGCCATCTGCATACTGATGGATGGACACACACACACACATGGACACACACATGAAAATGAAGTGATCTGAGCATAAAATTATATGGAAAAATAAGATGCATGAGAATATAGAAGGAGTTAGAAGAGAAACATAAAGCAGAAAATGTGGAATGAATGGAAGAATGCAGCAAAGACAAACAAAATCCCACAAAGGATAAAGCTGTGGAGAGCTGTGAGTGAAGCTGAGAGGAGGAATGACTGCAGATCAGCAGCTAAGAATCATGCTGTGCAGAAAAGGCAACAATCAAAAAGTATGGACGGTGGCTCCTGGCAGCCTCATGCTTCAGTTGAAATAAAGCATTTTGAAAAGCAAGAGCATTTCCTATAGTGCGTGCAAACAGATAGAGCCCCCTCTCCCCCCCCTCACCATCATAACTCTACCACGCTGTCCTGACTGGGCCACTGCAAAAGACCCAGCAGATCAAAGACAAACATCAGATAAAATCATCTTTACTCCCTGAAAATGGATTTTCTCATAAATCAGCTGTATGATCATTGTGGTTTGTTTTACCTCCTTTAAACTGGTTAGTATCTAGTGTGGAATATTTTCTGCAAAACAAGAACCAGAAGAATTGGAGCGCGAAAATGCGGGAACTTACAAAGTATATGTCGGAAACCTGCACCTCCCCATCCAGTGAGTTGTGGCTGCTGGAGACAGACAGCTGATTGCGCGACGTACGTGGTGACTGCTGACACACCTGGGGGCTTTGAGGGACAGAGGAGGGGGGCGTCGATGGCAGGTGGTGAGAGGAGTTGTGGGAGTAGGAGTGAGAGGATGCCGGACAGATGGGGGTGAATGCTGATGCAGGAGGAAGGGTGGAGCTGTTTGGACCTGTGGATCGTGCAGCAGAATGACAGACTGGAGAAGAAAGGCTTAAAGACTGAGCAGAAGCAGGAGATGTGAGTGGCTTGGTGGACGGACGGATTGATGAAGTAAGTGTGGAGGATGAATACCCGCTGCACTGAGAGGTGGTGGAGGAGGAGGACACAAAGGAAGGAGGAAGGCTGGGTGATGAATACTGAGAGCAGGGGTTAACAGAAGGAGGAGTGGATGACATAGATGATGCAGTGACAGGAAGCAGAGGATCAGCTGCTGGATGGCTGGATGTGGGGATTTCTGTCATCTGTGTGAGCTCCGTGCTCTTTGGGATTTTACTGCATTAACCAAGACATAGAACAATGTTAGAATACCACATATGAATAAATGGAAACCATCCTGGGATTTTTGCACTGCATATGCATCTACCTGAGCTCCACCTCCACTGTTATGGTGTCCTGGCGTTCACCGTGAACCTCAACTATCTCTTTTTGTGACCTGAAAGCAGACAGAAGCACAGAGCAAGCATGACCGTGGAAGAACAATATCATAAGAGCAGATTAGATATAACATTTTATATTCATCAGATATTCTCACCTGGAAATGTTTGGTGAAAGCATTTGCCTCCTGTAGCGAGGGTGCTCAGGTGTATCGAATGGGGTGGTGGGTAGGGAGTTGTTTGATGACAGAGTGGTAGCGATAGATGCTGTGGTGGCATCTTCAAATGAAGGAGGGGTGCAGGGCGGTTCCTTCCCTGAGGGGCATAGTTAAGTAAGAGATCATGAGCTGTGTGCGCAAGAGAGATGAAAAAATGAAGAGGACATAAATTCTTTAAGAAACAGACAGCACACTAACATTAAAGGTGCATCTCAGGAGGCTGTACCACAGAACAAAGATCTATCTGAGTGTACGACACTGCACTGCACTCTTCTCTGAACCTCTGATATCTGAACTCTGCCATATGCTTGCAGTGGTCCTTAAACTCAGTTACCTGTGCAAAATTCAAATTTAATTGTCTTCTTACATTCTTGCTCTTACAGGTCTTAGAAAGTTTACAAATGCTCCCTTTTTTACTGAAGTAATATCCATCTGGTATTGTTGTACACACCTCATATTATTCCCTTCCTGTGTCATCTAGTATTGATTTGTTACTTTTACTTATACTTTGTTTCTGATGCTGCTATGCTGCTGCTTCATCACTGCACGTTAATAATAAACAATAATGTTTGATTTATTTTACTTAAAGTGAAAAGGAGCACTCAGCTGCAGAGAATAGAGGACGTCAGTGTCAAGGTTAGAAATCGCGTTGCTGTATTAGCTTTTAACTTGGTGTAAAAACAACAACAACAACAAAGGAGACGTAAGCTTTCTTAAGGAACTTCCTAACACACAAATCACAACAGTAGTTCCGTCAAGGTGCTTTAGACTGTAAGGTAAAGGCAAAGCCCCTAATGAGCAAGCGGTTTAGCGACAATGGGAAGGAAAAACTCCCTTCTACCAGAAAGAAAGAAAACCCTTAAAGGAAACCTTTGTGCACCCTGTGGGAAATATTTCTCTGTTCTTATCAAGTCATTTTTTTCCATTAAAGCTTAGAAAAGGTCATACCATTGTCCTCCAGCATGGGGAAACTGCGAGCTCCTCTTAGGTTCTCCAAGTTGTCCAAGTTTTCTGGCCTGTCATCAGTCAGTGAAGGACGCTGCCCCGTCGAGCTGGCTCCTGCACTGGACTTGGACATTAGAACCCCTCGTCCTCTCTTGGATGGAGACGATCGCAGTGCTGTAAATTCAGCAGACGGATTACTTGGACTCGTTCCCTTTATTAGGACCAGAGGAAACACTACAAACTGCGACCTGTGCACGAACTCACAGCAACTCTTCTTGAACACAACTGTGCTACAGAACTTGTAGAACCTCTCAGCATAGAAGCTCGGTCTGTGAACCGACACAGTGTCCTGTGGGAGAATACAGGTCCCAATAAAGAAAGAGTGAAGATAAAATATATAAACATTTTCTATCCTTAATATATGCGTAAAACAAAAAACAAGATATGGTTTAGACTGGTCTGTTGGGCTTGGATTCAAACTATTACATAACAGTTACATAAAAGATACTCACTCCATCATGGATGAGGGACTTCCAGGAATGCTCCAGTTTCTTGATCAGCCTGCCAGATGGAAAAATTCAATTATTTATTAGGTGCCGCACATATCTAGCAGTTTACTGCTAAATCAGTGGCTAATATTGCCGACATAAAGCAATCTTCCCAAATAAAATTAAAAATAGAAATCAACTTTTATGTAGATCCTCATTCCTTCCACCTGCATATTATTATTAAATGATTTTGCAGCTATTTAAAATATGACATGCTTGATGACATAAGTAGTTCCCAGTAAAAAACTAAGGGTTTGAGTATTAACAGTGCATTTTTTCTTAATAATCTTCCCAGAACGGTGCTACTTCTGCACCCAACTAAGCCTTAGTTGTTGCGTTTTCTTCAGTGGCACACTGTCTCACAAGTAGCACACACTGATCACCTACCTGTAGGACTGCAGAATGTCAATGATTCCAATGAACAGCAGGAGGCGCTCCCCTTTAGCACCCATAGCTGGAATGCCACCCATACTAAAGAGAGCAGAAAAGTTACCCTGTGTGCATATTTGAGGTGAGGATGAGGAGAGGCTTTTTGAAGTGCTGTCTTACGTGTCATCCTGCTCCAGAGTGTCCCTGCATGTGGAGCCTCCCTGTATTGACTCCATGGCACTGGAATACAAGGATCTCTGCCCTGCGGGCCTCTTTTCATCCCCTCCTTTGATGGGTGAGCCCTGAGACTGACGCTCTCTCTCTGCTTGGGTCTTGTTGTGGACCCCAAGCAGCAAACTGTAGTCCATAATCTTAAAACTCTCCAGAACCTGATGTAAAACACATAAAATGCAATAAATATTTATGAAATCTTTGAGGAAAACTATGAATATTTGAGTATGGAATTAATGTTAGAATGGAATTAATGTTAGAGCCTTTTAAGCTTTTTTTTTTCTGCTTTCCTCAAATTCTTTCATGAACTACCAGGAAGATGTGTGGTTGGCTTGGCTGCTAGATGCACAGTGTTAATCTACTTTTACAAAGACCAGTTTATCCAGCTCCTTTCTATTCGCCCTCTTACCAGGCAGTCTCTTTGCAGCGTTTTGACCAGAGCGCCGTATGTGTCCTGGTCCAGTGTGAGGCCTTCAGGAATATCACTCAGAAAGTCCAGGTCTTTAAAAGTGGGTTTGGACTTCTCTCTTTCCTTCTTGGATGCTCGCCGCTTGTATGTTGAGCCCTTTAAGTCGAACTTGAGGTGCATGCGCACGGAGCGTGGTAGAATATTGTTCATCACAACCACTCTGATGTTCTTTCCTCCACACTGGACACAGTAGAGGCCAAAAAACTTTGGCAGTAAAGTCCGGGGGTTCTGGTTCAAGTTCTGGAGAGGGATTTATAGAGGGAGGGAGAGAGGCGCAGGGAAGAAAATGTGGCACATTAGTGGTTCATTTTGGTTGCAATCTGTGGCTTCCACCCCATTTCAGTACCATGCACATGCGAAACAGCGTGACTCAACACCAGGCCTCAGCTCATGCTTGTGTTTCTCCACCGTGTCCGTGCTTCACCAATTAAGGAGTACCCAGCCTAACTCCGTGCTCTCACCTATCACAACACCACCACCTGCTGACATCACCGCTAACCTGGGCCAACCGCGGAGGTTTGGATTAAGAGGATAAAGGTGACTCGAAGTTTCTGTGGCATGTGCAGTTCAAACCCAACGCAAGATTTCATTCTCCAACTCCTAACATATTATCACACTTATGGAAAGCATTCATTTTACTTTCCCAAAATGATTCTAATGGATGAGATACTTACCATGTAGTATCCAGGGAGCAATTTCTGCAGAAACTCAGCCTCTTTGTGCAGCACAGTTTTGATGATAAACTCATCATCACGGGTCACGTAGAAAATTGAGCCACTAGCTCCTGGATTTGACAGCTCAATCAGTGGCTCATTACACAGAGAATACTAGACAGAAGCACAGATAAGACACAGAGTACAATTTAACCTCAATTCAAACAGTCTGACTTTACGATCTCTGGAAACATGTTTTTAACATGCAAATGCTACAAAAGCAAACTAATTCATTAATTTCATATTATGCTTGTGTCACCTGTTTTGACAGAATAATTAGATAGTCAGAAGTTCGTACAATATTCATTATGTCTTTTTTGGGTGGCTGCATAGCTTTGCTCATGTTTGAGCCACTAGAGCTTTCCACCATCCAACCAAAGGACTAATGCATCTACCCACTCACTCGACATTACTCATCAGCACAAAAAAGAAACTATGTGTGTATAGACTGTTGAGATTACTACAAATTAATGCTGTATTAGTCACTCAAATGAACTTACTATCTTTACTGTTGCATTCATTTATCTTATGAAAGTGTGCAGAAAGCAGGGATGATGTCTTACCAAAGCTCGTTAGGCTTTAGCCTAATGGAGGCATTCCAGTAGCATCAGCAAACTTCTCACTATATCTGACATCTGAGGTATTTGAGGTAATTCTCTGGTTGGAGGCTGGAGAAATGAGCTGAGAGGTAAGCGCGTACCCTTTGATTGTAGCTAATTTGCCTCACATAGGAAGGCAATTTTCTATGGCTTAGCTGACAAAATGCAATTATCTCATTACTCCACCCCTCCACCGGCAGCACAAACACATGCAGACACAAAAACAAACCGCTCTAACCGTCTGCTGCCACTACTTGGAATTTTAAAAGGAAGGCTTTAGTCAGCTAATCTCCCTCTGGCACAGGTAGAGTGTGAGCTTAAATGTGCTGCTGAGAACACGCTATGTCACCTCATGTGCACATGCACAGTGTGTGAATGGTCGTGCAACTGAGAACTGTGACCTTGATCTTGACCTTGACCTTGGGCATGATTTGAGTGGAAACTCATTAGGTTATCATTGTGTGCAAGTTTCACTGAAATCTGACCAATGCTTTAGGGAGAAGAGTAATTCTTGTAAACATGTAAAGGTGCTCACGGCACAGCAACTATTACTTTAACCTTGAGCACAACACGGGTGAAGATCATTATGTGTAAGTTTTAATATACTCTGACTAATACTCCAGGATGAGGACTGATATTTAAATTGTGGATGGACACATGATGGGCGCCTTGCCGTGTCACATGATCATCTGAGTTAAAAATATATTGCGTCATGTCTAATAACTGGTGGAAATGATATTGACATACTGCTTTTCCCACAATGTTCCTACTATGCAAATATAATTCCAGCTAAATATTGACAAATAGGAGGTCTTGGGCAGGATTATATAGTTTGAGAGAGAACAGTTAAATTACAGCGAAATACTCGGAATCAAGTCACACATTTCAGTCAGGATGACTTTGGAGGTGGGTTACAAAGTGGCTTGCAGAGACAGTGACAATTGTAGGCAGGCTAATGAAACTTAAATAATGTGCTTTATATGAGATTTTCCACTAGGATGTGTAGAAGGATATTAGCTGATGAATTGAGACTGATGGCTAAGCTATGCTATGCTATCTTTAGTTTATGAAAATCTTCACTGCTCATCCCATGTGTAAAGGAATAACAGTTTAGTTACACTGTAATTTAGATGATACTTAAATACACTGAGTGCATTGTGAGTCATCAGAGAAAATAAGTATCTCACCAGGTAATCATCCGGTCGGATCCCAAAAAGCTCTCTGAAGTAGCGGAAGGCCACAGGGGCGTAGGTTTTAAACCTGAAGTCTGGGAAGTGGTGGGCTGGTGTGAGGTTACTGCCTTCGCTGTATGGAGTAAAGTGCGACAACAGAAAGAGGATAAGAAGCAATATCTCATGGAAATTGTATGCACATTTACTGATATGAATGTACCTGGGGAAGAAGATGCTTTCAACCACGTAGAAGTCCTGCATGAGCACATCTCTCTCGGGCTTGGAGCTGAGGTTGCCAACAGTATATCCGATACCCAACTGGATGGCACCTTTCAAAGCAGAGGAGGTTGTCTGGAGGCGGACAACAAAGAAAAGAGCAACAGACCAAGGTGTGGGTGGCAAACAGTTGAAATCGTGATGCCACGAAAACCTACAAACAGTATTAAGAGGCAAACAGGCAAAAAAAAAAGAAAAAAAGAACAATAAAAGAAAAACCTTCTTGTAAGTCGTCTCTCCAGAGGCATCGACCCTCCTGTGGCCAATCTTCTTCTCATGCCCTTGGCTTGATCCGAATGGGGACGGCATCTGTCACAGATAATGTGTATTATTCCCATGAAAGTTACAATGAAATGAACTATTCAAGCAACAAATAGATGAGAGAACAGATCGAGCAGATGCAAAACCCAGAGACAGGTGAGGGTGTAGAATGTGAAGCAACAATGGCACCTCTGTTATTTGAGCCTTCCTGCTTGAATCTGTGGACAGAAAGAAGGAGAAAAATGTTTAGCTGTAAACTCTTCACACTTCACTCACTCAGTGCCCACATCTGTACATTACTCAGCATGAGTGAGTGTGCAGATGTAGCTTTAATATCAAGCTAAATAATTAGCCCCAAATTAGACTGAAAGCACACGTCAAATATCCCAAAGTGAAAGAAACAACCAGACTCATTCTGTGGATGCTCAGGATCCTAGTTCAGAGTAGCAACATAGATTATGAGCACTACATGATAGTGCTGCGGGGCAGGGCAGCATCAGCTCAAACTTTCTTAATTTTGTAGGTTTTAACTCGAAAAACTTTATCTGCAGAGCTTGAAAAAGCCAGTATAGCAGCATTGTCATTAGCATTCTGTTCCACATTCCTTGGCTCAGGGTCATTTCATTTTAGTTCATTTAAAAATGGAAATGTTCAAATGCTACTTCTGCAGCATTTATTAATCTTGCCAAGTAAATTGGTGTTTAAACTCACCGCAGAAGAGTTTAGTCTCTACAAGTTAAAAATTGTTTGATAATCCAGAAAGAAAAACAAGATACTGGATGCAGTGAAACTGACATCCAACAGTCAGGCTGCTGCAGCATACCGTCTGTGTTTTCTATTCCTGGATCAGTGAGATTTGTAGAGAGAAGGTAAAAACTCTATTGGATTGACTTCCTTCTTAATCTGAGTGCTGCCATTGGCCGAGGTGTCCAGATCACATCACCGACCAATCACATGCAAGGATTAGGAAAAAATCTTTCCAAGCGGCAGGAAGGACGCAACTAGGCTGTGTTTGTATGTATTTAATAGGATGAGAGAGCAGGAAGCAACTTCATGGTAACTTTCATGTTGTATGAGAGTCAAGGTTAACAAAACATTGCTGAGATAATGCACGAGAAAGCCATGTTAAAGTACACAGCAGACACTGTAGCAGATGTTGCTGTCAGTTAATCATAACAGAGCAGTTTGCTGATCACATAATTTGCAAGTATGATCTCAACTGTCATAAACTTAAACTAACATGCAGAATATTTGATTTAACAAAAGTATGGGTAGCACACAGTCCTCCAAGGCCATTAATACAAGTGTATTCTCCTCTTACCGACTCTTTGCTGCAAAATAGCAGCTGTTCACTATCTCAGTGGGGCGTTTGCTGAGTAGCTCTAAAGACAATGCACAGCTGAGGCTCCCAGGAGTGTCATTAGTTTTGCATGTGTTTGCTCATGAGTACAATGTTCCTAGGTTACAGTTACAGGATGCTAACAATTAATGGAGTTCATCTTTTAATGGCAATTGTTAGGACCAGAGCTAGAGAAAGATTTTTAAAACTGACACCAATATTTGACAGTTTAGAAATCCAATATATCAGCAATTATTTTCTTCTTTCCAACACGTGAAACATAAATAGATCTCTCCAACATTTATTATGTGCAGTTACTTATGAGTTCTTGTTAAGATGATATGACAACACAGTGTAAAAATAATCTTGTTAGTGTATTACTTGTTTATGCTCAGCTCAGGTACCAACAGGAAAGTGCAAAGTGCCCTCTGGTGGACAAACTATGCAACATAACCACTCATAACACGGATGAGCGGTGTTTCTTCCCTCTCTTCTTTGCCTTTGTAACCATAGTTACTCCACTAGCATTTATTTTTGGTCACATGCCATTTGTGTAACTTATGCTGTTGATTTATAATACACATCAGGTTTTATAATACAATTTTATGGTTTTTCATTATTAAGTTTATTAATTACTATTTATCTCAACATACCTATTGCAAAGTAATTTTGGTTCCCACCTTGCAGTGTTTGTGGTGGGATTGTTTTTAGAGTGCAAGATTTTGTGTGTCAGGGAGACAACAGAGAAAAAATTGGAGTACACACTGTTCTGTTGGTATTTACTATAGAAGATATTTTTAAGAGAAACTAAAGCCTGCCATAAACCCACAGCAACAGCCAAAGAGATTGGAGGACACTACCACGACCGTGACACTTTTAAAATGTGTATTTTTCTGATATAATAAATACTAGGATCAATATATTGAAGAATAGAGCATATCGGCTGGTCCATCGCCCCACAAATATATTGGTCAGGCACTAAGTTCAAAGCCTAAAAGGTGAACTGTGTAGTGTCAGTGAAAATGTGAGGGGATCACCAAAGGTGTTCATCCTCCGGAAACAATTATTGGTCATTACAATCAATCCAATATGTGTTAGACAAACTGACTGATTACAACTTGACATCACCATAGGCAAAATCGAAAATGCTCAATAATTCTTTTGCACACACACACAAAAAACATTATTTTACCACATGGTGCGCACGATTGCACAAACAAAAATAAGTGGATGATGAAGAATTAAATGATTTCTTTGAGGGGAGGTTAAGTGGACTGTTTTGAGTGGCAATGGGGCAAAAACTTCTGCCTTTTGTTAGGATGTATGCACCTGTAGACTGCAGATTAGTACTGCAACAAAGCCTCTCAGGCAAAACAACGAGAAGGAGTATCCTGGGGTGGACGTGCACACAAAGAGTCTCTGTGGGATTAGGGTCAGGCTAGAATAACGTGTCACTGAGCTGCAAGCAATAAACAGGACAAACCCCACTGGGTCATCTGAGATTAGTATGTGGGTGACAGGCCACCTGTAAGATGAATTTACTTTGAATGTGTAATAAAAGAGTTTAAAGGACATGTGCAGTAACTGAGAGCTCACTGAGGTATTCTTGTTATGACATATTTTGTGTCAGTGTTGAGAGAAATATGCCTTAAGGGCTGTGCGTTTGATGGCAAAGAGGATTATAGCTTTTCCTTATCAGCTGGGGGGAAGAAATGGTGGCCTGTTGCTGTGACATTAATGTGAAACTAGACACGGGGGTAGATTTTGAAGCTCTTTGCATTCAGATATATTTTGTGAACCGCTTACGCCTGAGCATGCACAGAAAGGAAATTTGCTGCAAAATTAAATAACAAAATTAAAATGCCATGGCATGCTCTGTGGTATGTGAAGCAGTGGTGTCCACAGCAATGCCTGAAAATGATATGCATTTAAGAGATTACTGTGTGATTTATGTTTTAATTCCACAAGAGATTACATGAGCCACTCTCCAGATATAGCTCGGAAGAGGACCAGACAGATGGCAAGAATTATGAGGACGGAGAGAAGCGGAGGAGAATAAAATGACACCTGACAGAGACCGAGAGAGCACACAACGTTTACCAATGGATGCTTCAACAGCTCACGGTGTGTTTGTCAGCCTGTTAATGATGATGCACATACAAATGACTGTTGTCGTGTGTTTGCCATGCAAGTAAACACTTCCACGTACTCATTTGGGAAAATTAACTTTCATCTCAGCTCAGCTTTATTTGGTCTTGTGGGAATGTGTGGACACATCCCTAATGTGCACCTTGTGCTGGTGCCAGCCTGCGGTGAGTCAGTGGCATTTAAAAAAACACAGTGACTTCAATCTTGAGTTATTCAACCCACCAATCTATTGTTTAGTCCCACACTTTAGTGGGATTACCCTGGGCTACTACTCTGTGGATCTGTTTTGGTGTGATTTTCTCGTCTGTGCCTAGCTGTGTCCACGCACTGTTTGCAGGGTAGGATGTAGCCCAGCTATGCCCAACTTCCCGGGTTAGATCAGCTTTCATAGGCGGCGGCTATTAATAAAAACCGCCACCAAAAATGATGGCCGTTTGACAATTTCACTAAAACATACGAACCAGGGTCCCCGAATTCAAGCTGCATAGATGGGCCAGCGGCCGCTGCCTCGCTCGGGCTGCCGTCATCCCCGGTTCCCGCAGTTCCCGCTTCCATCTCCCGGACGGTTCCTGATCACGATGCGCAGCCGCGTCCTTCCTCAGCGGGAACCAGATGTTGCTGGATGCAGAACCCCGGTCCGATGTTTATTGCTATAAATGCCCACCACATAACTCCACGGATGCAGGTTTTTATCGCTGTGGAAGTGTAGCGGCGCGGACATGCTCAGTGCCAGCGGTGCCGATCATCTCTGCCGCTGTTCTGCGTCATCGTCATTATCACGCACCGGGTAGGGCGCGTGCCACTACAGCGTGAGCCCGCAGCTCTCAGCAAAGTAACAGCAGGCCGGGATACACTGGAGGGCAACGATAGGCCTGTACGTGTGAGTAAGAAGGTGCTGCTTCAAACTTAGAAAAGTAAGAAGCTTCTGTAAATATAAGGACGTTGAAACAATGGCGCAGAAAGCTGCATTTGGTCACAAGGAAAAAAAACAACACACGAACTATAAAGAGTTGGATGTATTGGTGCATATTAAAGGGCTGGTATGATGCAAGGATGCCAGTGGTTACACTGTTATGCAATAAAGAGGATGTATGTTGTGTTACAAGACACCAGTGGCCAACAAAATATCCACAATAACACAATCACAGCAGCCCTGCCCCGCAGCCTGGATCCACACCAGTTTGCCTACAGAGCAAACCGGTCCACGGAAGACGCTGTAGCCACAGCACTCCATGCTGCATTAACTCACCTGGAAGAGCATGGTAGCTATGTGCGGATGCTCTTCGTGGATTACTGCTCAGCTTTTAACACCATCCTTCCACACAAACTGGTGGCCAAGCTACAAGACCTGGGGCTTCCATACAGCACCTGCATGTGGATCAACAGCTTCCTCTCGGGCCGTAGACAGAGAGTCAGAGTTGGCCATCACACATCCTCAGCCCTGAGTCTCAGCACTGGCTCACCCCAGGGCTGTGTGCTCAGTCCACTGCTCTACTCTCTCTACACACACGACTGCACTCCTCGCCACCACAGCAACATCTTTGTGAAATTTGCAGATGACACCACAGTGGTGGGGCTCATTTCCAAGGGAGACGAGTCTACGTACAGAGACGAGGTGGAGCAGCTGACGTCATGGTGTAAGGCCAATAACCTCCTCCTCAACACTTCAAAAACCAAAGAACTCATAATAGATTTCAGAAGGAAAAAGGCAGAGATCCAACCACTATTCATAAATGGGGACTGTGTAGAAAGGGTGGCAAGCTTCCGCTTCCTGGGAGTCAATATAGAGGAGAACCTTTCCTGGAGTGTGAACACCTCCGAGCTGCTGAAAAAGGCCCAACAGAGACTGTACTTCCTGAGAATTCTCAGGAGGAATAACATCACACAGAAACTGCTGGTGTCCTTCTACAGAGCCACCATTGAGAGTGTTCTAACTTACTGCATATGTATTTGGTACACTAGCTGCACAGGGGCTCAGAGGAAAGCACTCCAAGGGATCATTAACACCGCCCAAAAGATCACTGGCTGCCCTCTCCCCACACTGGAAGTTCTACACAATGCCCACTGTTTTAAAAAGGCCCAAAACATCATAAAAGACACCTCACATCCTGGCCACTCCCTGTTCGAACTGTTGCCCTCAGGCAGACGGTACAGGGCAATCAGAGCAAGGACTAATAGACTCAAACACAGCTGTTATCCAACTGCAATAACACATCTGAATACTACAAAAAAATGTCCATCACGCCACTCTTGTGTTAATCTATGCACGGCCTGAAGCATGTGTGTGGGAATGTATGTGAATGTTTTACTGTTACATCTTATTAGTATTTTAAGTATTCTATCTATTTTATTTATTGAATTTTATTGTTTTATTTATATTTTGATATTGCTAGGGATGATGCAATGATCGGGGACCATTCTTCATTTCGTTGTTCTCGTGACAATGACAATAAAGTTTCTGATTCTGATTCTGAACCTATTTATTCATTCATTATCGCTTCTAAGAAAAAAAAAATTTATTTTTATTTTTTTAGGTATAAATGAGACAAAGTTCCCCAAAATAAACAATTCGTTTTCACAAGTATTTTAGAGACATGCAAGTTGGGGGGTGGATTCACTTTATTCTCAAAATGAATACTAGTTTTTTTTTCTTAATGTGGCCCTAACACTGTTATACTGTTTATCTGCTGTAGAGCACTTTTAAGGCCTGCCACTTCTTTTGGCTTCCACTTGACCAGTTTCCACAAATTTCTTACACTGAACACCATGCCGGTAAACCTGTTTTTTAATTTTTAGGAATGACCTCACTGGTGAAAAACAAAAAACTATTTCATGTATTTCAAGCTCTGGGATTTTGCATAGATTCAACCAAAAAAATAAAAAAACAAAACTGGATCTTTGTTTAGTTTTCTGTTATGTGTAGACAACACAGGTTGATGAATCATACTTAAATAATTCATAGATCAGTGTGAAGTTGCTTAACAAACAAGCATTCCTCTAAAAATGGTCAAGGACTGGACTGAAAATGACAGAACAAAACAAAAACCCAAAACAAACAAACAAACAAACAAAAACAAGGCCTTGAGAACTATATGGAAAAATATGTGTTATAAGAATGCTGTGTGGTTCAAAGCTTTTACATACTCTATCAGAAATAAACAGACACTTCTAGCAATTTAGAATTACCATCATTTACTTCTGTTGTGCAGGTGCATAAGCAACACATCAACACAATATTCACAACTACATTTATTTTCTAATTTCATTATATAAGCCATGATTTTCAGGTACAACATTGGGCCCTTTGTCGTTTTAAGTGCAAACAATAATATCAGTAGCTATGCAGAAATCTATTAAATTTATTGCCTTCGGTGTTTTCACATAAAACTGACAAAGACACAAACAAACTTGTCAAAGTAACATTCAGAACAGAGGGTATTTGTATTGGACTAAAAAAAAAAAGCAATGACTGTTTGAAGTATGCTGTGAAGTGCCTCTACTTTGGTTAACCAGTGGATGTTCTCTCTTATGGTCATACAAGGTTTAGTGTGAGTGGGCTCTGGAGATAAGTTGCACGCAAGGGATTATCAGGCCGTGCCCCACCCAGTGCTGGGTTTACAGGCAGGCCGTCACTGGTTCAGGCACACAGACACAACCCTGAAGTCCATAAGAGAGGTCAAAGGTGAAATAAACACATGGGAGATGAGACTGTATTATTACAGGTACGTGGGCAGGTCTTTCTCCACCACCTGCACAGAGAAACAAATGCAAATGTTACTACGGCAGAGTTGAAGAATAACAGCAAATACTACATATAACACACAGATAAGTGTACTAGTCAGACCAGATGGTTACAGAGCTGGGATGCTGAGTGATGAGACGCACTGTGCAAAAGTCACAAACAACCTACTGTCTCAAAATCTGAAGAGTTTCAGTCGTCCTCTGACATTAACATCAGCATAGAAACTGCACAGGGCCTCTTTGCCCATATATTAACAGAAATTACTAGAATATGCACAGAGGTTGAAAGCGTCTTATACCCCCACATCCTTCAAAAGGTGCTGTATTCTAGAGAATGCACAAGTATATACTGGAGAAAAAGTGTGGTTGCGGCTTACACTGGGATCATCGGTTGGGCCATATCTCTTCACTACTTGTCCTTCTCTATTTATAAGAAACTGGTGAGAAATAAGAGAGCAATGAAAAGCATTAATTTTCAAATGCAGTTGTAGTTAAAAACAACAACCCCCCCCCAAAAAAAAGAGAAACCACAAAAAAAAAAACAGCATTAAGTACTGAAGAGCATTGCAGTTCTGAGTTCTGATTGTATTAGCTTAGTTACCTTTGTGAAGTTCCATTTGATGTTGCTGTTGGAAAAAAAATAAAGTACAAATGAAAACCATACTGCAAACATTAAAAGTCTGTTGTTTATTTAAACTGGAATTCTGTGGGTTTACACTGATGTGCAGATTTTGCTGTTTTTTGGCTACACCACCTTTTATCCTACTCCCAGTTAAAACATACAAAAAAATAATAAAAATCAATAATTATGCAAATCCCTGTATATGACAATTAGACTCCTACCCGCAGATGTGAGTAATGAGGATATTCTGCATATAACAAACAATAGTTGACATTTCGCATAGCAACACGATCCACGATCCTTATTTTGCCCCTGATACTTTATGCATTTTACTGTATGATTTCTTTGCCTGCTGTTATGTGAATTGTGTTCTTTATTGGAAGGAAAATGTACAAAACTCAGTCAAAAGAAAACAAAAAAAAAACAAAAAAAAACAAAAACAGGATTTTGACGTCCCTTGTTGAGTTCATCTACAACGCAGCAAAGTGTAGACAGTGCAAGAAATGAAATCATGCAAACGTCTTTCTACAAACTCAGCAGAAAACGACAAGAAGCAGGGAGGATGAAGGCAGTGGGATTAAGAGCAACTCCCATTTCAGGGTAAAATGACGTCATGCCTGCCTGCTGTTTCAACACCGCGTGGAACATTATAATAGTTACAAAATACTTTAAACTCAGTCTGTTCCATGGCTACAATTTTAAGCTACCACACTTGAAACTGTGTAGAAACACAGAATTTGTATTTATCCATGACCAGAATTTCAGTCACAGACTTCACTTATGAGATTACAGGTGACACAGGAAGGTTTTGTTGCAGGAGGACATGAATGATACGACATTAACATTGTCACTGTACACTATTAAAAGACAGACATATTGCCAAGAAAACAGAAACATAGAATAACTTACTTTCCCAGGGTTCCCTTGCCTTTGGGCTGAGCCTTCATCCACTTCCACAGAGGGTGAGCGTTGTCTCCATTCACCTCAATCTTACTGAAGAGATCAAACTCAGCATTGTAACCTTTGGCAAACTCTTTAATTTCTGCTTCTGTCCCTGGTTCCTGAATGCCACAAAAACAACAAACAACTACTAAATTAAGCTAGAAGATGTTAGCATGCACAGATATAAATATAACCAATTGGAAAATAGATCCGAAGTATGCAACAGTCTAGCACGCATGTTTGGTACAGAGTGCAAATCAATTAGTACGGGGTCCTCTCTGCCAGCCCACTTTATTCACACAGAACAGTGAAATTAACTCATGTTGCATTTATGGCCACATAAATAATTTGTTTGAGAAAGCACAAAATAAAGAAGGCTGGAGTTTATCCACCTTACCTGTCCTCCAAACTGGTTGCATGGGAATCCCAGGATGCGTAAACCTTTCTCAGCATAGGAGGCGTGCATTCCCGCTAGCTGAGTGTAGTTTACCCTGGTCTTCCCTCATTTAGAGGCTACGTTTACGATTATGCACACATACCCTCTGGCGAAACAGAGCACAAAGTGAGGTTAAAATGCTAATTTCAAGCATTAACTACTGGTGCCAAGTGGTTGATTGTGTTAATATTACTTTTACCTGTATTTCTCCAGAGACACCTCATCCCCGTCTATGTCTTTGGCAGAAAACTCATAGATGGACTTGGCACTGTGCCAGTCTCCCACCTGAGCACACTGCACAGAGGTGAAGAAAGGAAAGCGTGCATGAGTGAGGCTGTGTGGTTAAGTAACAGCGGAGGATGGGTTTATTATAGGGCCTAAGAGAAACCAAGTTAGTCAGTGTTCTCAATGATAGGTGCCCTTTGGCCCATCTGTGTCACCATTCACGTCTCCGCCCATCAGTTTCTACACATAACAAGTTTAATCTGTAAAGGCAACATTTCGTACCTTTACACAAGCCTGCCACTAATAAGCAGAGGAGGGGGTGAGGGGTGGGAAGCTGATTAAAACAAATGTCTCCAGTCAGCCTTCGTTTTAATTCCCAATAGCAGCTTTAATTGGTCTAAATGAGGAAATAAAGCGATTACACAAAAACACGGACTCTCTCTGACGTTAGCTTACATCACCTAGCTCTCTTATCACCGGGAATGACTAGCAATTTTAGAGGTGTTTTTAATCTTCATACAGACAACCCAAGCATTGTAGCATCACAAAATACATCTATTATAAGCTCGAACAGAGTCCGCTGTGTGCAGCGACTGAGGCTGAACTGTTAAATAGCGCCCCTGGCCTGGTCCGCTATAAACGGGTTTAAGCTAGCGTTAGCAGCTGAAGCAACACAAACATCGGATCCATTTATCTGTTGCACTGCGGTCTAAAAATAGCCACACTTAATGTTTTACAGCGGATTTAAGAAGACATATTCGCGTTTTTTAGACTCCTGGCAATATAAAGCAGGGGACAGGTTTTATCTGTGCTATGTCCACTTACCATACTTCTCACTACTCCTCTGCTCCCTACCACACTCAAGACTGCGGACGATCTCCACAGCCACATGGTGGGCACACTGATCACGTTACCTTTTCGGCCCTCCGGCTCCGCCCACAAAGAGCCTAGCAAAGGGGTTGGTGTTACATGGGATCAGCTGTGATTTTGTAAGCACAGAATATCCTGCGTAAAATCATCCAAATACAGAGCCCTAACAAGCGACTGCAGCAGCTTCCTTCTCGGTGCGTCTTTGAGTGCATTGCACCCCATTACAGCGTTATGGCTTGTAAAGTAGACTTGTTTTAAAAAAAAAAATTAATCAAAGTTAATTAAGCCTTACAGGGCAACATTACTCAAATGGACCTGATATTTAGAACAACATCCATAATATTCCTCACCCTTTTTCTTCCTCTTCTTTTTTTCATCCTTTTGTAAATTAAACCAAAAGTTTCAGTTTTACATTTCTGTATTAATGTAGGGTCTTTACCTTACTATATAAAGTGTGTAGAGTCGACTGCTGTTGTATTTTGGCGCTATATAAATAAAATAAAATTGAACATTTTCATCTTAAGATTGTCATTTTAGTATTCCCTTGAACAAATTAATTGAAATTGCATCATCCCCAGTTTTCCTCTACTGGAGTTTGTTTCTAAAAGAAATACTGGCAACTGCCAATGCTCCCCCTCAGGTAGACACACAATTTTATTAATTTGTCACCATGGGTGACCTCTTTCTTGAGTTACCACATTCATTTTCAGAGTTTCAGAGAAATTGACCTCTGACCTTGACTTTGACATTTTGAATATAGTATCCATTTGATACTATTTCAGAAAATATGATCTCTATCTTGACCATGAGGTCACACTCACTGAGATTCAAACTCTGCACTGATGGCATCAACATTGCCTTATTCTTGAGTTCTCATGTTCACACAGATAGATGATGATACGCCATTGTCATCAACCAAAAAAGTGAGTGTGTGATTATGTGTATATGTGGCCTATTTACTCTTACAGTAAGAGCCATTAGTGACCACCTGAAGCTCGACATTCTCAATCAGTTTCTGCGAGCGAGAGCCTTAGATTCAAGTTGTAACAAACACCCACAAAGAGAATGTGCTACAAAACTGATTCAGAGCTCAAAACAAGGACAGACTTTGTTCCTTCCTACAGTAGCGTTAAAGGCTGAGATTTGTGCTTACTCACTCACTGGGTAACAACTTGCAGTAGGACAACTCAGGGAATACCTCATTTAAGTTTGTGTCTAAATATGCTTGTGAAATCAGAAAGAGACAGATGCCTTGGATGCACAGCCTTGTCACAGCAACAGAGACACACTGATTGTCCATTAGAAAAACTATAATAATGCAGGCTCACCTCATCCAGAGATTACATATATATTTTATTAATTTCTGTCATGTTGTCTTTTTTCACTACTGCCATATGACAAGGAGATGGGAGAAGTCAAGTTTAAGTCATGACATTGGCATTTATATATATATATGTATAAACACGGAGATGTAGAGCCTAAAAGATGGGCGAGACTGTGAGTAGTGCTGGCTTAACAGATGCCATTGAGGCCTGAGGTGCTGTCACTCCTGACTGCTTATTTTTGTAAATGAGACTGTGAGAAATGGATAAAACACTGGACTGAATGTGTTTATTCTCTATCATGAGCACACTATATAGGATAATTCATAATACAGCCTATTTTACTGTATGTAAACACATGAAAATATTAAAGAAGCATCATATTTTATATATAATGAAGTGAAGATCTCAAGGACCACTGGATACCTACACTCACTTAGCAGATCTACACTAATCTAATGTGATACTTGACTTTTTAAAACCACGTGAGCCTATAATTCGTGATGTCCAGAAAAGCAAAAGAAGAAAAAAAAAAAGCACCATAGTTTCATTATTCTTCCAACAGAGGGCACTACGCTATTGTAGAAAAGTTTACTATGTTCAGTTGATAACTTTTAAGTCCTGGAAAGAATAATGAGATTTAAGTTGAGAAAGAAAAACAAGACTGTGGTTTATGAAACTCATTTTTATTTTAGGCTGGTGGCTTATTCCTTTATACCTTTGATCTGGGACTCTGCAGTGGTTTAATGTCAGACCCCTTAAGACAAAGTTTTGCACCTTTAATTTGGATGCGATCCTTCCTCAAACTAGTTACTGGAGTTGGCTTTAAAACACAAAGGAATAACTTAAAAGTGTAAATCAAGAGGTTATTGTTTACAGAAAAGTTGGCCTGTAATTTCTTTTTGAAATAAAATGTGTGTCATTTTATTGGATTAATAAAAGATTTTTTTAATTTACTTGCTTATTACCACTTGTGATTTCTGTTTTTTAATAAAATGCGACATATTAGAGTTATCTGTTACAAACATAAAGACCTGGATTTACTATATTTCCACTGTATTCATGAGATCTTATTTAATGCAAAGAAAAAGTAAAAGCTACAAGTGTAGAAATGTGAACATGGACTGATAAGCTGGATTGTGTCACATCACAGCGATATAACTGAGTCACCTGAGCAGAGAAAATCTGTAACATTTCCAGTTAGTTACTTTTTTCTGCTTAATGAGCTGATGATATGGACTAAAAATTCACATTTTATAAGACACTGAATGATTAAGATTTGACACATAGCGTGCATGTGGGCATAATTTCTGGCACAAATGGAGCCTCGTAGCTTAGAATTTTGATTCGTCCAAATTGGTTTGATAATGAGGGCAAAGGACGGCCTTGCATAATTGCAAGGATTCCCATGCAAACCTGCCGTTAATATTCCTGCACGGCGTAACGCTCAGTGAGTTTGGCTGATGTGGATGCCTTCAGAGGAAAAAAGCTTTTAATTAGGATATGACAAAACGCAGAATCCACCACAGGTTTCCACCTGACTCATTTGAAGACCATAATTAAGCACCTCACATATAGCCAATTAAAACTTGAATCAAAGGGGTTCTTCTGCAAAAGGAATCAGTAGCATCAATGTGGTGTGTGCGTGCGTGTGTGTGTGTGTGGACGCTGTAATTAGCTGCTCTCCATGTACTGCCGAAGTGAATGTTTATGAAATGATACAGTTTTCTGGTGTGCAGGTGGTTTGGGGTTTTGTTTCCTCCGCGTAGCACAGCTGAAACAAATTAGTGTGTAACTGTGTCACATGAACTGTGTTCATTTATAATACAGTGTCAAGCTGAGACAATATTATGCACAATGCATCGCGCCAGGCTGGACAAATATCCTGAAATATTGTTAATATGTATCAACACCTGTTGCAGACAAGCGCACACACAAGCAAAGAGAGTCACAAATACAGGTTTAATCACAACAACGGGGGATAATAAGGTCACAAGATGACATTTCAAACTGATGCATGACACAAGTCATCCTAACGACTGTATAACGAGCTCGATGTTGTTTAAAAGCCTGATAAATAAACGGTTTATTTATTTGTATGTCGACTGTGGCAAAGAGGTTGCTCTCATCTGAGGCAGAACTAAGCAGCCAGCCAACAGCTGTTTGTTATAGGTCAGATATTCACAAATAACTAGGCATGCGTATGGAAAATCTGTGTGCAAGTGAACAACATAGCATTGAGGCAAACCAATTACAGCACGTTTTCAGCTGAAGTTTGGATGGAAAAAGTGAAGGTGAAAACTGCATATGTCTCTGTGTCAACTAAAGAGGCTAATAAATACATCCATCCATCCATCCATCCATTCGCTTCCGCTTATCCTTTTCGGGGTCGCGGGGGGCGCTGGAGCCTATCCCAGCTGTCATAGGGCGAGAGGCGGGGTACACCCTGGACAGGTCGCCAGTCTGTCGCAGACTGTCTGTTGCTCTAATAAATACAAGCATGTAAAAAAAAAAGAGAAGAAGCTTGGACTGAAAGTGTGAGAATATTTCCACTCCATCAAAGTCTGAACTGCAGATAGTTACCCCTTGAAAATAGCTGTCCAAACATGTATAATGTAATTAAAAGCATTTATAAAAGCAACTTTGCGGTTATTTGTTGTCATTTAATCATCACAGAGTTATGTTGGCTCATACGCCACAGAACCAGACAACCCTGCCCTAATGATGAAAAGTCGTATTTGTGAAAAAATGAGACATAATGAATAGGAAACGACAGAGAACACAGAAGAACAAACAAGTTTCACATAAAAAAAAACAAAAAACAGTTGCCTAGAAACAACCTCTGCTAAACCTGACTCTCCCACCCCCCGCAATACACACACACGCACACAGCCACATGCGCACACGCGCACACACTTACACGCAGAGCTATGTGCACCATGGGAGATAAGATCAGATGCTTCAAGAAAAGTTAGGGTTATTTCTCACTGTTCCTAAGCAACAAGTTTGCAGTTTTCTTGCCTTCACCCTCCGTCGGCTCTGCTGGAGATTAATAGTCAGATATAAATTAAGTTGACCACCAAACTTTATGAATTTCTCAGAAGTTGACTTTATTTTTATTGGCACAGTAAAACCCCGCATCACCTCACTTGGACAGCTGAGAGTTAGAGGGATGGCTCGATCACATCATTTTACATCAAATGTTCTGGTATTTACTGGGTTTAAATCTTTTACCCCAAATGTGCAGGTCAGCTAACATTCCCACATTGGCCATTGCTATTAATTTGGAGTATGGCGGATGTGTTATGAGGGCCCCACGTGTGCCTGCTATCATACCCCAGTTCCTTGTAAGGCATAGGATGGTGTTGTAATTACTATCTGAATGTGCACATTACTCTCACAGCAAAAAAAAAAAAAAAAAAGGATCATGCTGAGAAGGGACCACTCACCAGAACACCTACACCACCATGCTACATTCTTACATGTTTTTGGAACACAGAACAAAAGGAGTGTAATGGAAACAGATGGCAACCTATATTTGCATTGGCAGAGAATCTTTTTACATTTAACCCTCATACTCTGAGGGGTTTGGTTGGCAAGGCAACATGTTCTGCAGTCTGTTTCCCACGACTGCATCTCAACAGTCCAGATCAGCCTGCTTATCCATCTATCTTCCTGGAGAGAATAGTAGTAAGACGAGGCAGGCATGCCCTGTGTTGAAATGTTCGACGTTATGCTGATAAGCAACTGGCAGCCAGCTCACTGCATTTCACTTCAATAGCTCTTA